ACACAGTAGAGTAGTAGAGCTAAATTTTTACGCAGTTATACAAAAAAATTTGGAGTTTATCCGCACTTTTTGGTCAAAATCTTCGTAGAATGTGTTCGAACGCATACTATTTTATATTGACAATATTTGTTTCCCCTGCTCTTGACGTCACAAATTTATTCTCACATAAATTAGCATATCAGGTTTTTTTCAAGATGGCGGACGACTGTCGAAAGTTTTATGATATTTCTGAACAACTAAACGCGATAGACATGTGAAAATACGTAATTAAGTATTCCGTAGGTATGTTTAATAGATATCGAGAATAAAAAAATTTATTGCCATTGTCCTTTAAGTTTTTCCGAATGGTACTCCCATTCGAAAAAAATTCCATCATATATGATTACCTAATACTACAGTAATTACAAATGTTTTCTCCACAGATATGAAGTGAAGTTTCAAGTACCAATGGAGTGTGGTGGTGCCTACCTGAAACTGATTAGCAAATCAGACAACCTCAAACTTGTAAGGCTAAAAGGGATATCATCCTAAACTAGTAAATTACCATGCCCAATCATTCCAGTAAGACACTGTCAGATATTTTTCTATTGGGTCAAAATTTCACTGAGAAATTGAGCAACTAAACCTATCGTTTTGGACTAGAGTAAACAGTTCGTAAAAAGTGTTCTATACCATCGACGTTTCTTTGATATCAGAAATCTTTTGAAACTGATGTTTCAGTATTTCTCTAAAATGGCCACCTCTTTATGGTCCGCGTAGTTCACATAAACCCGTTCTCCATTATTTTCGTTCTCCAGAATTTTTATCCCGGCCGTTTGCTCACGCTTGTTATGCAAATCAAATCCAATTTTCACAATGGAATTGCGACTTCTCTAAGATAGACAATTTTTTTTCTCCAAGATAGACAATGATCAACGCAGCTGATCTGTTAAAGATGTTGATATTTTTCACAAGGAAACATGCTCTATCGTAAATGATATAAAAAATTCCATTATTAATTATATGAAACGTTCAGTATCACTTGATGCTGACTTATACTGGGGACCGAGTGAACCCCCTCTTCCCTTCTCCCTCTTCTCTCCCTCTTCTTCCCTGCCCTGTCTCCCCCCTTCAACATCCTGTCACTTCCAGAAAATCCGTCTATGGAATATCTTTGGGGCTAATATACATTTATTTATAGAGTGAATTTCAAGACAAAACACCATACACCATTATGTTTGGTCCTGATAAGTGTGGTATGGATAAAAAGGTGAGATAAAATGCTACATTAATATTTCGGGTGATGCACTGCATGCACGTTACTGCCGTCACTAGGCTTGATAGAAGTATAGTTTACATGTATGTAGCTGTGAGGTGGAGCTCAAATTTCTTAAAGTGCAGGTTTTAGCGATGGATTTTGTCGAGTCGACTTCTCTCTCTTGCAGCGCGTCAAATTTTACCGAGTCGAATCTTAGCAAAACAGAAAACTGCATTATTTTCCTAGTGATAGATTATAGTATAATTGCAAACGAAAGGTTGTTCATGCAGCAATAATAATGCTACGAGGTCTTCTCGCCAACATTTCAGTCCCTTTACAGTTGATTTCACATAACTTTTCCCTAAATGTTGCAAACTTCGTTCCAATGTTTGCTGCGAAGTTCAAAAGTTCATAATCATATTCACAAACCGTTTGTAAACAATGCATTTGATTGGCTTCTCTTAGTTCAGGGGCCAGTCAAAGGCTTTGTTTACAATCCAGCTTATGAATTTCAATATCATATGAACTTTTAAACTTCACAACGCAGTTGGGAACGAAGTTCGCAACATTTAGGGGAAAAGTTATGTGAAATCGACTGTAACCGGCTTTTAAACTTTCGTTTAAGCATGGTGACTAGTTTTAATATAGTACATCAAAATTATCCTGCCTTCCACCCCGTCCCGGCAAACAGCTCAGTAAACAGCTCCTAAGAGCAGACGATTTCCTTTTACATGGCGATAGGCCTAGTAATTTTGGCGCAAGTAAATAAGTTGGGCGTAACGTTTAGCTTTGTATATCAGTATGGTAATATAAAGCCCTGAAAGCCTGATGGAGTATTTTATCATGATCTGGTTTGTTTCTTGTTCAGCTTCACTTCATCTTCCGGCACAAGAACCCGATCACCGGAGACTACGAAGAAAAGCACGCAAAAACACCAACCGGAAAGTTTGATCAAATGTTTGATGACAAAAAGCCGCATCTCCTTCGCCTGGTTTTGCAGCCAGATAACAACTTTGAGATATCTCTGGATGGCAGCAGTATCTCCACCGGAAGTTTACTCTCGGATGTCGAGCCTCCTGTCAACCCGCCAGCTGAGATTGAAGATACGGATGATAAAAAGCCAGAGACCTGGGACGAGCGCGAGAAGGTTCCTGATCCGGATGCGGAGAAACCAGAGGACTGGGACGAGGATGCCCCAGCGACAATCCCAGACCCTGATGCTAAGGTAAAAAGAATTTTGGTGTACATAATATGAATTGTGTGGCCATGGCATTGCTTTATAACAATTAGCTACAACGACTTCGAGTTACAGTATTGTTAGGGCCTGTTCATATGGGCAAAAGTTATCTCGGTTAGCGAGAAAACTTTTCGACAAGTTTACAAGCGAGATCTCGCCTTTGTATGAAAATAATATGAAAAGTTACACTGCGTTCATATGAGACAAAACGTTTTCCCGTGTACCGAGATCTCGCTTGTTGACAGGCGAGATCTCGGTGACCGGGATAATGATTTTCTCATATGAACACAACTTTCCCGCTTAGCGGGATAACTTTCTGTCGTGTCAGCAACTTTTCAATTCAATTGATGTTCAGTGCCACGTCACAGCCGAAAACTTTACCCGGTAAGCGGGATAAAGTTTCTCCATATGAACAGAACAAAAGTATTTGGCTAGTCGAAAAGTTTTCTCGTTAACCGGGATAACTTTTGCCCATATGAACAGGCCCTTAGTGAGCTTAAGCATGGATTGTAAAATAACTGGATAGGAAACTTCCTGACGTCACAGTCTAAACCTAGTTGCAATCTGTGACGTCACGCGTATTGCCGAAGTTCTCAGCATTTTTGTTGTTCGCTATATTCTCCGCTTTAAAAGAGTAATATTGAAGCATAAACTGGTCTAATTGTTTTAAAAACATGCCTAAGCCACAAATGTTTAGCTGTATTATTGCTAAACATGTCGTTTTTGAGAATTTGGTTTGCAACTAGGTTTCAACATCCAACCATGCCATCGGCCCATTGAAAACATTACGTCACGTCAGCTAGTTTCCTATCCATTTATTTTATTATCCATGGCTTAAGTAAGCGACGTTTTTGTCAACACAGACATCACACGAAAATTGGTATAACTAATTTTTTGGCGACATTTTGCATGATAGCGCTCGGGTAAGGAAGCAAAATCTTAGGGACGGGTCATTATTTATGGAGTGGCACCGAAGAGAAATGTTTTTCCTGGTAAAAATTTTGCTGACCCAACCATTAAAAAGCAAAAAATTTGATTACCCAACACCAAATATCAATTAAAAATTAAATACCCACCCCTGGCCAAAACCTTTACAAAAGAATACCATTCAGTTGTCACACATGTCCTTTACCAATTTTGTGACACAAGTTTGATAACTAAAGTTTCATGTTGTATGTACATATGTACTTTCTTTGGAGACACCATTTGTCTCCCAACAAATCGGAAAATGATCAAGATAGTGACTCTGATTGATTCACATATTGTATTGACATACGACTGTTGACATTGCTTTTCAGTCTCCAATATTTAAGTGAGTCATGCTTTGGAAATGACAATAACTTTTTATTACCCAACCCTTGCTCAAGTTGTTTTGTTTTCCATTTACCCAACCTTTTAGTTACTCAAAATTTATTTAGTTTACCCAACCCTTTTCTCTTCGGTGCCACCCCCCGCCATAAATAATGACCGGTCCCTAATGTTTTGTCATATACTGTATGTTGAAGATTACCACAAACAGACACAAACTCAGTTTTTAATTCAGTCTCCCTCGGCAATCTGACGTCCGTGTTGACAAAAATGTCGCTTGCTTAATATACACTCGAACCAGGGACGCCGGAACGATGTGAAGGCAAGGGGGGAAGATTTTCGTGAAAGGGCACTTTTCAATGGATATATATATACTAAGAGATATTTGCAAAACATCGGGAGTTGAACTTCGCCTAATCATGTTTTCTGTATATTGGATGATAGGGGTGTGAGGGGGTTCTCCGCCAGGCGATTGTGCTATTCTTGAAGCTCGATGACTGCATTTCTTGCGTTTTCTGAAGCAAATTCGTAAAATAATTGCACTAACATTTCTGACAATTCGCTATTTCGTCAAGGCAATCCTTTAAATTGAAAGGGCACCTTTGCCCCCCTTGCCCCTCCTAGTAAAGGGCAACGGGGGGCGGCTGCCCCTCCTGCCATCCCCAGTTCCGGCGTCCCTGCTCGAACCTTTAATACGGTCAGTGAAACGCCGAAGAGACAGAATAAAGTGTTCGTATTAGAGAGGTGTTTTTCAAAATAAAGAAAATATCTATTCATGTTAAAACAGCCAAATGAACTACACAGATAAAACATATCCCTTTGGCTTGAACCCTTGTTCAAGGAGCTCAACAGTGTACCCATCGAACCTAATTTGATCAAGTACCAAGCCTAACCATCCCTCCTGAACGTAAACCGATATTTTCACACAACTGCAGCAGTACTGAACTGTCGAGAACTCAAAGAAAATGTTTTGCAGCTAGAAATACTGCAGCTAGAAATCCTGCATTATCACACCTTGGTTAATCTAACTGCAAACAGGAAATTGTTCAACTTACACCAACTATCATGACCTGATCATCCCAGTGACCAATATGGTGAACTCATAAATTCTAGTTTCTCATAAATAACTAGAGGGCACTCGGAGACTACATACCTCCGCCAGCGAATTCAGTTTTGTATCATGCATAAATTATACAATGGACTAATTACACATTTAGCTTATTAGAATGTTAGGGTTTGTAATCCAAGTGAGAATATATACATTTTAAGACCTAACCAGGAACGACTGCGAAAAATGCAGCACAAGGTCCTCTGGTAGGAATTGAACCTACGGCCCTGCGATTCCGGTGCAGCGCTCTAACCAACTGAGCTACAGAGGCCAGCTGTTGAGCTGTAACCTTAAGTTCTTGTGTATATAGGTAATCGGGTGTGCGGGTTGTGATAAGGTGGACTTCAATGATTAGGATTATAAATTTAACCAAAATTCGAACAATTTGACTTGGGCAAGGTCCATAGTTCCACAAATTTTCGTATTAATATGTTTATTGTTTAAGTTATCGTGCTAACAGAAAAACACACAGACAGTAACCTCCTGGCAGAAGTAACGAGGGTGTCTACAGTAGTATGATCCTGAGGTCCACAGACCACAATAGGGAGTTTACGCATGTAAGACGGCAACATCAGGACGACGGCTATCAATACAATGTCATTAATCCTATAGCACAAAAGAAATGAATGATTAAAAGTATATCTGGAGTTTCAGATGTCGTCCAGGCTCTGTTGACGACGGCAAAATGCATATTTTCACGTCTTGTAAACTACGCCAGCATTTCAAGCCGTGGCAGGCAATTTTTCTAGCAGAGTTGATCAAAATTGCTCTGAAGGTTAAAAGCCCTGTTTCACTACTGTAGTTCTAACCTGTATTAAATTCATATGAAAGTAAATACAAGACAATGTTTCCATACAATCATTTATTTCGAAAAGTTTGTTTAGCCGTCGTCCTGACGCCGCCGTCTTACATGCGTAAACTCCCTAATGACGACCTCCATTCGTTCTGAACTGTTTCGACAAATTTACTGTAAAATGGGAATTTCCAACGACTGCATGTTCGTATGTATATATATTTTCTAGAAACCTGATGATTGGTTAGACGATGAACCGCGATATATTCCAGATCCTAAGGCTGTAAAACCTGATGATTGGGATGATGAAGAAGATGGTGAATGGGAACCGCCTCAGATAGGTAACACCCTAGTCAGACCATAGAAATAATAGATGATGGATTATCTCTGATGAGAATCAAACGTACAGTACTAGTACGGTACATGGAAAAGCTGGTCACAGACGAGCACGTTTTTTATGACAAATTTTATTTGCCATGCAATTGCGCGTGTGTACGTACATTAATGACAGTTTTTTTTATGACATGTTTTTTGTGTTCTACTACAACAATATACATGTTACTGAGGGGCTTTAAATAACAGTTTCTTCCAACTGTTGTAAATCTGCATAACGGTGTTTGCAGAAGTTCACAGGCAAACTTTGTTCTTAGTTTAACCCATTAAGTTGCAATGCACCAGAATGCGCTCTACTTTATTATTTTACTCTGTCTAACACCAGGCGATTTTACTCGTCAATGGGTTAAACCTTGGGTTAAGCCTTGCATCTCTACAAACGAATCAATTCAATTTTCTAGTCAATTCTAAATGTGAGAAAGTTGGGTGTGGTCAATGGGAGCGACCAACTATTGATAATCCTGAGTTCAAAGGAAAATGGAGTGCACCACTTATTACAAACCCGAACTACCAGGTACGCTTCCTTGTGTAGCTGATCTTACATCTATAGGACTAGATTGAGCATTGTTTTAAATACAGCGAGCCAATTATTTTGAAGCCGGAATATCTAAAATAAATTTAATCTGTCAAATTTAATCGTTCAATTTTTTTAAGTATAAAATCTAAATTAGTTCTGCTACCAAGCAATTGTCTTTTCATTTGTAACTTGAAAAGTATGTGTTTTAGAACGAGTCAATAATGAGTTTTAGAAAACTAGAGAGTGAGACTATATAGTGTGGTGTGTCAAAGTGACAAACATTTATGTATATGTCTTTGAAGGGCATATGGAAACCAAGACAAATACCCAATCCTGACTTCTTTGAGGATAAAGAACCTTTCCGAATGACAACTGTGGTAGGTATCGAGCGTTGTTGAGAAACAATAAAATATTAGTTCTAGCTACTTAGTACTAAGATTTGGATTTTAGGGTACGTTTACACACCGCGACTTATAACAACCGTGTAGATTTTAAGTTTTATATACGTACGTATAGAATAGTAGGAAACGGATATATAGGAAACGTAATCATCTTGTGATCCAGAGAAAGTGTCTGGAAAAACCTTTGTTTTTACACCCTGTATTGTTTTTCCAAATTGCACGAAATACCATACTTAGTCTACAACTAGTATAGTATAAACCATACTAACCGCGCAGAAACAAATTCATTGTCACTTCCATGCGTGAAACACATGTGTAATAAGTAATTTATTCACTCATTTGAATGACACAACAAGTTAATACAAGTTTTCAACTGTTGGAGATCAAAACTTAAATCAAAACGACTTTTGTTGTGTTGCTAGCCACGTATTTCATTTTTGAAACTGTATTTCAATAAAATTGCACTCCTCTTAGCCAACCAGAATCAAGTAATTTTTTCCTGTTAATTATTAATAAACAAACTGTTGGGTAGGTTGCTTTAAAGTTTCCCGGCCCGCCAAAATCCTGCCCACTGCAAATCAGGATCAGACCCCCCATAAAATTGAGGGCCTGCCATGCAGGCTACCTAGGATTAAGCTCGCCGCTTTTGAACACGCGCTCCCTGGTAAATATTTTGATGTGTTTTCATATTGCAGGCAGCTCTTGGTTTTGAATTGTGGTCAATGACTGAAGATATCCTATTTGATAACTTGTTGATTACTGATGATATTTCTGTGGCTGAAAAGCTTGCTGAAGACAGGTTTGTTACAAACGGAAATTGATTTCCCTCATTCTTTTCATGCCAAGTTTCAGAATCCTAGGCTTTTCGTGTTAGTGGTCAGTTCACTTCCTAGATTTTAAAAACTTAATAATTTGTTATAAGAATGGTAAGGGTGAAATTGTACAGTACCTCTGTCAAGTTTGTATAGTGTATTCGATAGCCACCAATCCGGCCAGCCACAACCTCATGACGGCGATGCAAGTTTTATACTAAATATCTTGAAGATGAGACCGTTGGTAAACGGGACATCTGGATAAACGGCGTGGCTACTACCTCCATGGTCTAAGGCTAGGGGCTAACTCGAAATTCAAAAACTTAGCTAAATTAGGGACCAGACTTACAGTTACAGGCCTGTATGTCTGAAACTTATCTGAACCTGGTGCTACTGGCGGCTGACAACTCGCCACTACAGGCATGGTAAACGGCTCATATAAACATGCCTTGCAATTCAATTTCCAGTTCTAGAAATGATTACATACGAAAAATCGTGTGTTTTGTAATCGTGTATTTCGATCACTCAAAGCAGTGTTCTGATTCTATGTCTTGCATGCATGTGACGTACTACAGTACATACTGATTTGGGAACAACCGAAACACCCAAAGAATGAGTCAAACATTGGGGAAAGCGTGCACAAAAACGATGTTGATTGGCATTATTCTCCTTGCATGTTAGATCTTATATACACTACATATCTTTTTGTAAGCTCTATCCTGAAACCACTTATATTTGACGTATATTTGTATTTTATAGTTGGGCGCTAAAGGCTACAAAAGATAGCATAATCTCTGGCGAGGTAAACAAAACGCGTGTACTAAACCTTACTTAAATTTTGTTGCCAATATAATCTTGAACTGTCTGTGCCAGTGTAGGTAATGCCAATAATAACAAAACTTTCGCTGATAGGGATGCAACCATAGATATCTTATATACACTAGATAGTGCATCTAATTATTCTGCAGTTCAAAAATTGAAGCCGTGATTGCAGTCTCAGGTCGTTCCCATGAAATGAGGAGATTCGTATGTTTTCTATTTCTTAAACAGGGAACTTAAACGTTAAGTTAACCCTATTCCAAATACGTTTTTAAACTATTCAAATGACGAAAGTTATTGTTTTTAAGCGTTTATTAGCAAGTGGGAACGACCAACATGGCCGCCATCTATTCAAATGGGGGTAACCGCTGGACTATTCTTGGCTTCAATTTTACTAAAAGAGATGCGCTATCTAGTGTATATAAGACCTCTATGGATGCAACTACCTGAAAAATACAAGCAGAAATTCGACGTTTCGGACGTTGGGAAGTAAGTCGGGCCCTTGAAAGGGCCTTTGCTCGAAACGTCGAATTTCTTCTTGTATTTTTCAGGTAGTTGCAGGAACCAACCAAAGTTTTGTTACCAATACCCTTTACGCGACCTACTCGAAAATAATCTTTGTTCAAATGTCAGTTTCATGTACCACGAAATGCTAAAATAGCAAACGTAACAAAAGTCATTTTATGTCATATTTAATACCTAAAGAAGAATATTGAATCAGAATGAGCTAAATATACAAATTTTATTATATGGACAATGGTGTTTTACTGGAAACTAAAACACTCGTAGAACTCATACGTCACTACATCCGGGACCAGGTGCGCATATTTTCCGTATTTCACCCCTACGAGTGACATACGAAGTTCGAAAATTTCCCGCCATTTTTATTGTTGTTTCGAAAATACAAATGGTCTTTGGTTCGTATTTAAAACGAAATTAACGTTGGTAATAAAACGCAAACATTTAAAAGACATCTTTAGATAAGTGAAATTTATTCTAGTTTTAAGTTTGCACTATAATTTTAAAAAATATCGCTTTTATACTGATCTTTCGCTTGCTTATATTTACATGTCGTCTTTGTGTGTATTTTTGTCACTCTGAGTAAGTTCATATAATAAACAGAACATTAAACGGTTGCGAGAAGATATGGATTTTATGTTCTCGTGTCAAAAACAATATCTGCCACTCGAACATAAAATCCATATCTCTTCGCAACCGTTTAATATCCTTTATTTATAAAAAGGACAAAAAGCCATCACGACAGAAATCTGTGGCGTGGATGACTTGCAAAGTTTGAAAAAGAACAAATTACCTCGAATCTAACTGTACACTGTATATCAAACCCGCTTGCGCTAGACTATAGCGGTAATATTATGATTTCGTTGTGCTTTAATTTTGCAATAATTATCACAGACACAAATATGTTGAAAATCCTTCTTAACTTTTTACATAAAGCATACAAAGCATATGCATCGATAATGAACCGTAAAACTCAAAGTTGTAAACAGTGTGAACTTCGTGACCGTGTGACATAAAACTGACATGTTAACTCCAGCTATTTTCGTCCTGGTCGCGTAATTTTAAAAATGGGTGTAAACACTTCTTCAGGTCTGGAGTTAGGCTCTTCACCGTAGTGTGTTTCGGGGATAATGAAGATGAAGAGTCTGAGTCCCTGGTTTTCGCCAGTCTTGGTTAGCAATATCAATACAATATTTAACATGGTCAGTTATTCGCTTTCCCTCCTCGTTCCAATCCAGTTACCATCGAAGGAATATCCGTGATTATTACTTTGCCACTGCATGTACATTACGTTTTCTGTTGTGTTAAATATAGGGTAGTATTGTGAGTAACTTGATGGAGGCCACTAAGGAACGACCATGGTTATGGGTGCTGTATGCCGTTGTGGTTATACTTCCTTTCATCTTGATAGCAGCTTGTTGCTACCCAAGCTCCAAGGTAGAGTATTTATTACATCCAATTGACTTACTACTGGACATAAGCAACAGTGTAATCTACACAATAAACTGAAACGCTAACTCCATTGATCAAATCGTATGATTGGTCAAAATTGATGCTCAGCGCGGAAACAGCACGAGGAAAAAACTAGGGAGAACTTCCAGGAGTTAGAAATTCAGCTCATCGCAAAACCACGCAAGCCCACTGCGAGTGCTAGCATCTAAAATTAAAAAAAACTATCGAGCATTGTGATTTTGGATGAAAGTACTCGCAGCGATCTTGCGAGTTGGTTGTTGCGACGAGTGGAAAAGAGCCTTTATTATTCTGCATGACGAAGAAAGAATGGTTGTAACAATTCACTCCTGCCGATTTCACATATAGCTCTAATGTGTATAACAACTTGGTCAATGCGAAATAGTCACCAAAATGTACATTATCAGATATACCAAGAACTATTTTGTAACATAAATCAGTTCTATAAGCTGCGTGTTTAGCAGCCGACAACAGCCTGGGACAAGCAGGGCTTGAAATAACGTTTCCAAAGTTCCTGATCAACATGATTGGCAGTCATGACTTTTCCTTCTTTTCCGCCTATCATATATAAACAATTTCTTGCCGATCGGTGATCGGCTGTTATTTCTAGCCCTGGACAAGCTACAGTATGACAAGAATTACCCATGAGTTCCAGAAACGTGACATAGTATAGATTACCTACTACTTACAACCAAGTCGTTCTGACAAAATGTCTTCATCTTTATTAACCTTTAACCCATTTGCAACTTCCTTCGCAAAATTATCACCCGCGTTCCATAGCAACCAATCATATCAATCTACTGAAATGAATTAAAACAATCAGACGTTCCGACAGACCTGGGATTTTCAAACGCTATCTTCCCTGCGAATGTTTCCTGACAGTTATAAACTCTTCAAACGCTTTCGCTTTGGGTTTTTTTTGGCGAAAACAGAATTTTTACACAGGAAGATTTCTCGAAGACCCCATTATATAGAACACGAAGAATCATGATATACAATTGCCAAACACCTACACACGTAAAAACGCACAAGTTGTAACAAACCTGCAGCGGACTTGTAGCAATGCTGTTCCAACAACTTGTTAACAGGATGTGTTCGCACTGCTTGTTCCCAGCTTGTTGTCAACGGCTTGTTGACAACTTGCTACAAGGTTGTTGAGTTCAACAGAATTGTTACAAGTTGTTCCAACAACTTGTTATCGTCCTGCAATTCAACAATTTGTCAACAAGTTGTGAGTGACAAGTGACAACCTTGTAGCAACTTGATAAAATAACAGCATTGTTACAAGTTACAACTTGTTGACAAGCTTGCTACAAGCTGGTTGCGAACACATCTTGTTGACAAGTTGTGAGATTTTTACGTGTGTACACTTTGGCTTAACGTAGACATCTCACGGAAAAATTTGATTTGATTTTTGCCTTGTTTTCTTGTTTATTTTTCACTATTTTGAATCCAATTCCCGCTATTTCCAAAATGCGAGTCCACAATCATGTTAAAAATCAGGCCTTAAAATATCGGTCGGTCACGGACATTGTCCGACCCATTCGTGAAATTGTCCGACGTACAGAGGAAACCACCGGACATTCTGACCGACCTAAGTGAAACTGAGGTTTATTGTTTGTCCTACCTAAGTGTATTGGTGCCCGACCGAACTGTTGCTTTGTCCGACGTAAAATGTTTCCGGCGGCGAGCGAAATGGTGAAGTGGAAAACGAACTTAAGTGTCGACATCTTACTGTTTTTTCTCTGTTTGCATGCAAGTTAATTTTGGCTTGGAAATAAGTATGAATGACACAAATTATTTAATATCTTCATAACATTTACCGTTCATAATTAATACATTATGCTGATATTTGTGTCATTCAGACTTATTTCCGAGCTATGAAACTGAACTTATTTTCATCGGACATCATACATATGTCCGATCCAAAGTCATCGGACATTTTGTCAGACGGCCCTGTAAAAGATATTTTAAGGCCTGTAAAAATTTTTGTCAGCCGTTGTTAATCACTCTTACATTACTTTAAATGTAATTTTGTGTTTAAACGCCCCACGCACAGTTAACTACGTGATTAGTTAATTTTAACCATCCGACTTTGTGCCACGCAGTTAAGTCATGTAGTTAACTAACTGCAGTTAACGTTAACTTCGTTTTTATACAACATGTCCTCCAGGGAACAATTATCACTTATTTACTGAGACCGAGGGAAACAGTGTGTTTTGTGGACCCGAGACCGTCGATGTTTCCCGAGGCGAAGCCGAGGGAAACATCGACGGTCGAGGGTCCACAAAACACACTGCTTTCCCGAGGTCTCAGTAAATAAGTGTTTTATTATATATCAATAGTCAAAGAAACAACAAATTAAAGAACAAATGAACGTAAATACATGAAATATTTTATTGTTAAAACGTTATATTAAACACTGGCTACACTGCAGCAGTTACTTAAAGCGAAAGTTTTAATTACGTACTAGGCATGTCCAAAGGTCGCACCTTCACGTGATGGCGCACGTGATTTTTTTTGGTATTCGCCGGTGGATAACGTATTATCTCCCTCTCGCGCTGTTGCGAGGTAGACAGCCTAATTTCGTCACTCTCACGTGATATGCTCTCAACCAATAAAACACTAGAAAAATGCAACTTTGACTATTGATATATAATAATATAATCTGTAACGAATTTTAAATAGGGGGACGAAGCTGCACGCAAGAAGAAAACTGATGAACCTACAGAAGACGCTCCAAAGGAGGAGGAAGAGGAAGAAGATAAAAATGATGAAGAAGATAAGAAGGAGGAGGAGGATAAAGAAGATAATGAAAATACAAAGGATGAAGACACCAAGGATGAAGACGCCAAGGATGAAGACACGAAGGATGAAGACACCAAGGATGAAGACACCAAGGATGAAGACGCCAAGGATGAAGACACCAAGGATGAAGACACCAAGGATGAAGACACCAAGGATGAAGACGCCAAGGATGAAGACACCAAGGACGAAGATACTAAACAGGCAGGTGTATTTTGTAGTTGACGAGAAAAAATATTTTCTTAGGGGCTGATTGCATGGGACCTTTTGATAGGGGTGCAAAAAATATTTTACTTTTTGGGACCGCAAGAGAACATATAATTTTAATTTAATAATTTTATAATCAAGTAAATCGACACTCGGACGCTGTAATTGTGTAACACTAACAAGTTATCATCAAATTAAATGTTAGGCTATATTTTAACAGAAAAAAATTCAGTGCGCTGAGAATCTAGTTATACTTATATTTTTACTGTATATTTGCAGATGCAAAAAAGGGCACTACTTACGTAACATTCTTTCTATTCGTTAAAATGTTACCTCTTATTTTCCTTTTATCCAATTTTTTTTATCTAAAGTATCTTTTTTTTCTTGGGGAAATATTTTCTGGGTAATCCAAAAACTTTCTATAGGACCAATGGTCCCGTAGTCCGATATACTTTTTTCGCCCCCTGCTTTTTGAGCCTGGAATTTCGCATGTACCGTAAGATGTTTTAATTAAAACACAGAAAAAACTTACTTCGAGCATAGTTTTGTAAAATTAGGGCACAGTAACTGTTGAGAATGTTAGGCGCGTGCTTTGTCGTTCTAGTGTGTATTTCCTTACATCATGAACAACGCTAACTACAGTAGGGCTAGTATCTTAGTTCATGCTGAAAATCACTCAATGCTCATCGTTTGTAGAGTTTGTCTTTATGCGCGGATTTTATGTAGAGGTTGTTTATATTTACGTATACTCAAGTGGATGGTCAGAATCCTGCCCGTTATTTGAAGGTGTGCGTTGTTCAGAGGTTTCAATAATAGGATTTCAAGTAAAATTTGAACTCACTGTCCGTTAGCAGAGGTTCCGCTGTTGTTCTTACAACATATTCCATCTATTTATTTAATGCAGGGCAAAGAGGAAGCGTCCAAAGAAAAGGAGGACGTGCCTAGGTAAGGAAGGTTTGGTAGTAGTTCTCCATAATCCAGAGAAGAAGTTGACGTTTGATTGGAATTCCACCATCAAAGCATAAGGGTGAGCGGTGCACCTCCCTCACTCGAGGGTAGATGTCACCCGCAAATAAACCTTTTTGAACTCGCGACGCAATGCTATCTTAGTGGTGACAAGGTGGGATTCAAATTGACATTCAAATCAAACTTTCAACTGCCAGCATACATCAGCATAAGATCTAAACAAATGAGTCAACACTATGAGGTGATGATGTCTGGAGGTGATCAACAAGCGTGGTGGTTACACCCATTATCAAATCATTGATTAAACAGTACCGCTTTGTGCAATTTCAATAAAGTCATTCTTGTTAATTTGCATTGGGGTATTTTTTAAATCATTCTTTCAAGAACGAGTTACTGGCATTCTTCACAGGTTTAATTACTGTAGTGCTAGGTGTGATTATCAGGGACTAATTTGTTTAGAACTTGTGCTGCCTCATATATTTAGGGGGGAGGGGGGGGGGGGCTTTCTTTTTATGCGGTGTTTATTTTAAATGCATGCATGTGTTGAAAGACTATTGGATACTTGGTAAAATTCGTTTACTCTTTTATTGCAGTGAAGAGTCTGTTGGCAGTACTGAAACCAAAGAGTGACTCTGTGGAACGAGCTATATTAACATAGGCATTCTTTGTATGTTCAATATGGATGGCGCGCGAATATGATAATGTTAAGCTTTGTTTCTTGACTTTGCGCCCGTTTTGAGAATTTCGGTATCTTTCTATAAAGTTCATATTTTGATTCACTATACAGAAACTTCATCATGCAAGTGCTTGTTAAGAACCTCTGCGAGGAAAAATTGAAAAATTTTGCTTTATACTATTAAGATCAATTCCCAACTCGTATATGGGTTGTAGAGAAAGCATTAATAGTGAGTTTGGCAAATACAACGGCAACGTCAATGAAGACACGACCATGAACAATAGAATTTTACTCTAAGACAAAGCCGACTATAAATTGTATTCCCTTAATGACCACACCAACAGCTAAAACGTTCAAAGTCGTGTGAGCTGTTTTAAGTAGTTTTAAGAGGTAAACAAGGTGTAATGATGTATGCTTTGGCACAGAGTACATGCATATACAGAGTTATACTAGTGTACCCACTTTTTTTGTGCCCGTGCTCGGCAAGTTACTATATGGATGAATCCTATTGGATGAAATTGGATGACCACTCTCTTTGAGTTAATTTGTTAAGTAAATCTGTCGTTGCCGATTGGTTGCCAAACTCTCTAATACCGTCGTCGGTTACAACGTGAAACTTCACTGTTCGTTTCGAGAATTCGAAGTTTCAATAGACCTTTAATTTCCATCATGGCGTCAAAAATGACATTTGATTGGCTCGGCAACAATTTGCATCACGAATTATTGTGAACATTGTTCTGTAGCATGTCGCCTTTACGGGAAAAGCGAGGGGTCCATTTGCGCAGCAAATCAACCTGAGGCGAATCACTACTAAAATTGGAAACTGTTAATTAATGAGTTCTTAACAAACATGAAAGTTTCATGTGACCAATGCAGTGTTTTATTTATGACTGATCTTTTTGGACAAACTCTCTACTTGATGTACGTAGCCTGTTGAATATCGTATGTCTTTATTAAAACAAGTTGATTCATAAGCCTGTACCATGTTTGTATGGTGAAGTAACTATTATTGTTTTGTGGTGTGGAATGTATGTATTGTATGTATTTATCTGGCATTGATCCGTAAGCCTGGATCGTCATCAATGCAAATGATATAAAACGTAGTTAATTTTCACGGTTCTGTGACTGGTCGATTACAACAATGAAACACCATAGAACTAAAAAAAAAATTTTCAAAGAACAAACACTGATCACTTTTTTAAAGCACAAACATGTTTAGCTGCATGTTTACCAAGTGCCCTGTCTCGCACGATAATGCGGTAATTTTGGTTATAGACACCAAATTGCCAATTTCAACGTCTATTTACACTTCTGAGAGATGGGTTCTTTTCAGTTTATAAGTGATTTTCAGGTACGATATTAAAGGGTCGGCATGAAGCTCTACAGGGTGTCTCAAAAAAACCCAAAATCATTGAAATTGACGTATTGTTCGATATTCAATGCCCTAGCACTAAGTTAATCCCACGAGTGCATAAAAGATTGACATAACTGCTATAATGAATGGTAATACTCAGCGTAAACTTGTTATGTCAGGCATAAAGTACTAAACCCACGAATGCATATTACGCATATTACAATTTACGAAGCATTTTAAATTCCCATGAGCAAACAAACGTTCACTTTACAAAGATATTTTAATTTTTTAAAACAAATTAATCACCCTGTCAAAATCCTTTGTGTTACGGCATTGAAATTCGAACAATACGTTATTTCAATGATTTTGGATTTTTTTGAGACACCCTGTACAGGGTGTATCAAAAAGAAGGAGACCTTTAGAAATCAAGCATATTGTTAAAATTTGAATGCCTTTTCAATTGCACATATGCAGAACCGTATTGCACATATTGCATATATTAGAAAAAGGAGACCTTTAGAATTTGAAATAACGTTTAAACAACAGATTGTCTGCTCCTGGGAACAATCTGCCATGTGCTTAGCAAAGTGCTCCAGGATTCAAATTATAACAATGGTTGATTTCTAAAGGTCTCCTTTTTCTAATATATGCACTCCATCAATATCACAGTTCAGCATATGTGTAATTGAAATGGCATTCAAATTTTAACAATATGCTTGATTTCTAAAGGTCTCCTTTTTTTTATACACCCTGTATAAGAAGATGTTCTGTGATTGGTTGATTATGACAATGACAAAAGAATAAGCTATAGAATGGATTTTCTAAAGAACGAAGCAAGAACAATATTCCTTTTGTTTATGTACGCCAATGGACCTTTCCCCTTATAACTAAAATCTCGATCTAGACAAAAATTTCATCACAGCTTGAAAGAGCATCACAAAATTAGTAATATTCCAAAGTTTTGTTGCAAAATCTTGTAAAATGCGGATAATATAGCCTTGCGAAGTTTGCCGTTTTTCAGTCATTTTGTATTACAAACGGGAAATTGACATCCGATTCGGGTGTTGGGGCTGCAATTTCCGTTTGTAATGCAAAATGACTGAAAATTGCAAACTTCGCAAGGCTCTTTGGAATATTACTCATTTTGTGATGCTCTTTCAAGCTGTGATGAAATATTTGTCTAGACTTGCCTAGATCAAAGTTTTGGTTATAAGGGGAAAGGTCTATTACGTCTTTTGTCATTGTCATAATCAACCAGTCACAGAACATCTTCCTAGAGCTTCATGTTTACTGACGATAAAACGCATTCTGATTAGCATGACAATGAAAGCAAAATATTACCAATACATTTATCAAAAGTGTAAATCAACATTAAAATGCATGGTAATTTGCAAAGCGAGTTAATTTAAGTTGCTCTATTTTGTAAGACATTCTATCACCCTAAAGCGTGGTTTCCATATGGCAGTGGCGTAACGTTATATCAGGGGGCCCCCGGTTCAAAATTTTCGAAGGCCCCCCCCTAGTAGAAGTGCCAAAGGCACGAGTCAAGCGCCGTATATGCACGAATTTTCTAGGGGGTCCAGGGCATGGTCATCCGGAAAATTTTTGAATTTAGGCTCTCTGAAATGCCATTTCCTGGACTTTGGGGAGAGATTTTACAGAATTCTGATGGTCATAAAACGACATTGTAACATATCAGAGGCCCTGACCAATGTTTTTGCTCTATCGCCTAAGCCTGGGGGCCCCCATTTAGGTTGGGGCCCCCGGGTTCTCACGGTCTGAGCCCATAGTAGTTACGCCACTGCCATATGGTCGTAATAATATAGGGACACGATCTTTCTCAACGGCCAGTTTATAATAGTTTATACCTGTAAACCACATATAAATCATAAGTATTTCAGCTGATGAGAAAGATCGTGACTCAATCTTGACGACCGTTAGACAATATGGAAACCAGGCTTAACCCTAAACTAAGAGATGGCTGTGAGAGAAAAATTTTGTTTGTTTGTGAGTTTAGGGCCGGTCTAAAGGCGGATTTCCAGTCCTCGCACTGGCGGCGGCGCTACAGGGGTGTGTGCGGCAAATTGTTATCTCTAAAGATAACCACTGAAGAAACCAAAATTGACTTCCTGAATAATTGAATCCAAACCGAATATCACGAATAGCATGCATCAAAGAAACCACACATGCAGCAATGCAAATTGTTCGAATACAGTATCAGTTCTTTCAGTCCAAAAACATAATATTATTGAAATCATAATTAGGTAATTAAATTTGTTTGGTGGTGGTTGCTTATTCTGTTCTATAAAAGAGGCAATAAGTCGGTTTTCCACTAGCGAATTTTCTCGCACGAAGCGACTTTTTTCCTTTGTCGGTATCACTTATTACGTCAGCAAGACGTGGCAAAATCAGTCCTCGAAAACGAGGTCGGCATTCGACAATGCCGACCTAAGGGCTGGTCAGGGTGGGATGGAGGTAACTCGCAAATTTTGCCAATAATAAGTTTGGTGACCCATCCAGTAGGATGTAGATAGAAATTTCAAAGTCCATCTAATCTTACAAAAACTTTTTCATGACCCACCCAATCTAAATTGGGAAAATACATTTTTATAATAAAAAAAACTTGCAGGTATGAACATTGTAAATATACACCGGCACTGTATTGACATACATAATTCCACTAAGCTAGACCATGCACACATTCATAACCAATTACGATACTGAGATGCTCTCCAGTCGGTTAAATTTGCTTTGATTCGACCACTTCTTGTTGTTATATAAACAAAATACTGACTTCAATAGCATAATTTGATAATTTGGATAGTTTCGTTTACTTCTATTATTAATATCTTTATTTTTTGAATTAGACATGAATGGGTTTTTGTTTGGCATGGTGGCCCATCGAAACTGCCCAAAGATTTTCCATGGCCCATCCCAAATCACTCCAGCCCACCCTAGCAGTTACTTTATGACCGGTCCCTAAATGCCGACCTATCAACCTCCAAGGTCGGCAAATTTTTGCCGACCTTAATTCAACCAAAGTAATTTTTTTGGTGCTGACAGCTGTTAAAAAGTCAGCGTCGTAGTTCGTTAACTGAACACACTACGGTGTAAGGTTTAAAAATTGACGGGTATTGTGTATATACGTTAGGTGTCTGAAGATCAAATTTCGCGCGTCTGGAGTTAAAATTTGGCTTCAAATTCCTGGTACCCGGTTATTATTTTTCCGTAATAACCTGCTACCCGGTTATTATTTTTCCGTAATAACCTGCTACCCGGTTATTATTTTTCCGTAAAAACCTTCAACCCCGTAATTCCCCCGGAGAAATCAAATACCACCGCCTGCTTTGATTGAAGGTTATTACGGAGGAGTTAAAAAGCGACAAAATACAAAAGAATATGGTCTGATGAGTTTGTAAAAGAAGATACAATTCTTAAAAATCGCAATATTTGCTAAATACTTACCAAAACTTGTAAGCAGTGCTCTCATTTCCCATTGCCTGGAATTCCTTAGATTCTCGGTAAATAATTCCTCAGATTTAGTAAAATTTCCTTAAACGAGGGGTAAGCATGTTTTTTGGCAATTCATGATTGATAATTACAAAGTTAGGTTCCCAGAATTTTTGTCTCATTTGGAAAATGGGAGCAGCATCGTCAAAAGGGATTTCACATTAGGAAAGGGAATTTATATAATAACTACAGTGAAACACCCAATTTGATTGGCCAATAGCCGTGCAGGATCAGGCTATCCTGCACGAGGAATTAAAATGCCTTCGCGGGATTCTCAAAATGTCATTGTTTCACTGTAGTTATTTTATAAAACAATTACCAAATGGTTTTCCAAGCAGGAGAGCGTGACCCATGCACTTGGGATGTTGCTCGACTTTCGGAAAGCGTAAAAATACACTCGCCTGCGGCTCGAGTATTTTTACGCTTTCCGAAAGTCTCGCGACATCCCTCGTGCACGGACACGCAATCCTGCACTAAAACCATTCGGTATTCCTTTAATCTTCCTTCGAAAAACTTTTGCAGTCCTGAATGCATAAGACTGCATTTCCTGCGTTTTTAAAAAGTATTTTTTTCATAAATAACAGCTACATTGACTGATTTTTTAAACATCACTTCAATATTTTCAAATGTTAGATAAAAACTAAAAATTCCTTGGAAATTCCTTAAAAATAGTCTCCTTAACGTCAAAATTTCCTCAGTTTAAGGAAATTTCCTTAAAAATGAGAGCCCTGCTTGTAAGTTTCGACCCCGCGCTAAATCTGGCAAGTCCCGATACTCCAGAAGAGCAGCCGGTAGCTTTCGTAAAGACCCGTCAAATCTTCTACGTCATAAAACTGAACATCCAAACATTGCTCAAATCCAAATCATTGTCGCATTCATATAGCTCGGTAAAGAGGTCTGGGAACAAATCACAAGAATGGGGAGCTGCCTGCGGCAGCAATTACATTTTCTTCTTCTTAAAATCACCCAACTATTACACATACCAAAAATCATATTTGGTGTTAGTCGCGCCAGTAATTAACACGCTTTCGTTGGTAGAGATGCAACTACCTGGTATATATAAGAGAATTTCGATGTTTTCAACGAAGAAGACCCTTTCTCTGCAGTTAGGGTAAATCTAGACGAGGGGGCCTTCGCTTGAAATTCTATATTTTCAGGCAGTTGCATCCCTACCAACGAAAGCTTGTTCATTGTATACTAAATGAAAACCAAGCATAATATAAGGTTGAAATAACCCGAATTGAAACTTGGCCGTTATATTTTTATTGTGAGAATTGTATACTCTTTTATGTCAAGGCGAGTCAGCAGTCTTATTCAAGGCGTTTATAAATAGAGCGCTGCAAAACAAGTTTTCATTGATTTGCGTGCGACCTTCCCATCGTGCAGCAGGGCCTGTAGAGGAGGCAGGATGTGTGGTGCGGCAGTGGACAAAAATTTCATCACAGCTTGAAAGACCATCGCAAAATTAGTAATATTCCGAAGTTTCGTTGCGAAATGTTGTAAAATGCGGATAAAATAGCCTTGCGAAGTTTGCCGTTTTTCTGTCATTTTGCATTACAAACGGGAAATTGGTAATCAGATGATCAAAATTTCCCATTTGTAATTGAAAATACGACAAACTTGTAAAGGCTATTGAGAACATGCTCCGGGGGGGGGTGGGAGACCGTTGGGTTTACCAGGAAGGGCAAGGGGGGCAAAGGTGCCCTTTCACTTTAAAGTTTGCCTTGGCGAAATAGCGAATTGTCAGAAATGTTAGTGAGATTCTTTTACGAATTTGCTTCAGAAAACCCAAGAAATGCCGTCATCGAGCTTCAAGAATAGCACAATCGCTTGGCGGAGAAACTCCTCACACCCCTATCATCCAATAATTAAATAGAAAACATGGTTAGGCGAAGTTCAACTCCAGATGTTTTGCAAACATCTCCTAGTATATAGCAATTAAAAAGTGCCCTTTCACGAAAATCTGCCTCCCCCCCCTTGCCTTCACATAGTTCCGGCGTCCCTGGCTATATTATCCGCATTTCACAACATTTCGCAACGAAACTTCGGAATATTACAAGTTTTGTGCTGCTCTTTCAAGCTGTGATGAAATTTTTGTCCAGACTTGTCTAGATCAAAATTTCACTCAAAAGGGGAAAGGTCTATTACAAATACAGGAACAGTAGATTTTATTACACGAATGATATGTTTAATTTAATTAATTTCCTTGCAAAAAATAATTTCCATACATGACTTTTGAAGGATTAGGATATGATTAACTCGGATATCTCAATATATAGAGAGGGAAAAAATATTAACTTATATATAACTACTGATGTCTTATTACACTTCATCCTAAGACGAGAAGTCAAAACTGCAAATAAACATACGAAATATATATATTTTAATTAATATTTAATTATAATATAGTGTATAAGCACGTATACTAAAACATGCACGTGTTTAATAATCCTACAATCCCTTTTTCAGAGGTTATAGAAAAGTGTCCATTTTGCTATTTTGATTGACAACTGCAGTTTAGCTAACAACTTGATAACTCGACTGAGCTCCATAGCAATCATGAAATATTCCAATTTCAGCATTCCACTGGTAATACACCACAGGGAGTGTACGTATCTGAATAGTTCATTACTTAGGTTTATCGCCCTCGTCCACACAGGAGAAAACGTTTCGGTCATGTTTGTAACTTTCTTGTTCAGTGTTCTTTCTTGATCCTTTTCATTCACAACCTTTTCAGAACTCGCGATGAACTTATGGATCGGAGAGGAATCTCGCATGATGGAGACGTCAGAAGGATCATATATCATAAAATAATGTAAAACTCGAATGAAGTTTTCTGGTGGTTTATAGGATCAACAATGCCCTTTCGTAATAGCTGTAGGATATTTCCTCCTCACCAACTTGTTGAGTTGCATATTTCGCCGTCGAACTTTGCCTTTAGCTATGGTTGTGTATGGTTGGTATATTTATATGGTATTTTGCATTTGTAGTTCTAATTGTTTGTCCTTTCTCATTCCTTAAATTACTTTGTCTTTGACTATACTCCATATAGGTTGAACTGTTAACACTGCGTAAGAAGTTACCTACCGCTGTGCAACATGTGTGATAAAACCTGCATGCATGCGTACAACATATAAAGGGCAAACGAAATATTCTGTAATTCAGGAAATAGGAGTCATTAAATCATAATTGCCAACACTTTTCTTCAACGATACGATTTTACGGAGAATAGTGTTGGCAATGTACAACATACTTGATAACTGGTCTAGAAAATGAAAATGGACAAGTTTAGGAATATAGAGATCAATCTCAGATTCCAATTCCTCATTAAGAAAAAAGTAAAAGGAAAATAAATTTCCATGCGGTTGCTTGTTTTTAGCCCTGTATTTTTTTACACAAGACTTGGATGGCATGTTTTGTAGCCAACTGATGTTTTATCTAACTGATTTATATACCGTTGTTATTGTTAGGATAGCAAGTGGGGATGTCATACAGGGCTCGCTTACATAATCCCCCTTTTTTTGACGGGATAAAACTCGACTGATTTTATTTAAGTTCATCAAAATCATCATTCATCTCATTTCGTCCCAAGAGAAACATATTAAGAAATATATTAAGATATAATCAATAATTGATGAATGATGGCATGTTTTCATGGGATTTTATAGATTTACTTCTCTCTCTCTTTAAAAATCGTCTAATAGAGTATTCGAGAATATATTTGACGTCATATTATTAATATACGATCACAATTGCATTGCGATTGATATAAGAGTTTGTAAACTTAAAAAAACTTTATATTAGTCTATATTTAACAATTATTCGCCTCAGGCTCGGTGATTATCGGTAAGCACCGAGCCTGAGGCGAATAATTGTTTTAATATTTTTGCACAAGTTCTTTGTGTTTTTCCGGTCTGAATTCATTTTAATTTCGCCTATTTCTTTATCACTAACTTCAACAAAACGCCTAGTCGCCATTTTGAAAATTTCGATTTTGTTATATTCACCTGTAGGTGAATATAACAGATTAATACGCCAAATTGGACCAATCACCTTATAGGATTTGTTATGTTCACTTGAGCAAAAATACTATTAAAATGGTTTATACGTATTGGCCTATATTTATATATTAATTGACGGAAAAAAAGTTATTATTAAAACCCAAACTTTGTAAATAATTATATTTTAGTATTCGCTATATAAATACATAGGCTAATTTTGTAAATAATTATTGTGTTAGTATAGTCCTAATCATGTAATATTTTTAAAAGCACGGTTCTTTGAAAAACAGATTACTGCATGAAAGGCCACAATGGTTAAATAAGTTTAAATAATAATAATTAAAGTTCGGAAATTAAAACTCGTTAAGCCTTAAGGCTATGATCCGCACTTTTTGGGCGGGAAGTTACTCTGTCATAAAATTGTTTCTTTTTTCTGGTTTTTTCTATTTGACATAATCAGTTAAGTTTTATATTCCATACAATATTTAATAACACGTCATGGTATTGAATGAAGTATAAAGGTCCTGACACACTGAACGTGATTCGACAATGTGACGCGATCTTCACTAACCAATAAATTTGATTCTAGTTTAAATCTTCCAAACATTTAGAAGCGTTATAACATTTTGAGTTATTTGGTCTACATACTGTGAATTTTGGCACTTAGAACCATGCGTCAACATGCTGGTGTGCTGCGAGTACGGAAAATCAAGAGTGACATAGTCTGAACGAAAACTGTTTGTTTCACTGCTGCCCGAAGGAAGACGCTTGTAGCGTGTCTTCGAATGAAAGCAGCAAGAGCCTCGTGTGATCAACATCGGTATCGGGTTTTAAAATATATTTAAAATATTATATATATATTGCGCGAAAATCTAATGGGTTATTTGTAACCCGTGCGCGTTTATTTCGCAGCTCGCGTAAAATACTTCTCACTCTGTCGTTTATAGTTCGCAAAGGCAAGCTGTGAATTCCAAGTGTCTCTACAATCCAATCATCCCGAAAGCAAAGTAAGTTAATTGACTAGGTTTTTACATGATGCTAAGTTTATTTAGTTGCTATGTATGGTATTATCCCATGATATTTTAGTATTTTCGTGGCGCACCAAATTTCGATTCCGTATATACACGAAGACACTTTTTGAGAGTAATATCGCTTGTATTTTTTAAAGAGTGCTGAAAACCTACTCCAATAGGTTTAACCATATTGCGTGTGCGCCTATTTAGCCTTCTTTTTTTACGAAACGGCTGTGATGACATGGAAGCGAACTGGGTAATTCATCCGGTGTGTGACACTCACCGAAGACCAACCAGAATGAAAGTTGTCAAAGATGTCAACAAACGCAACTTTGGAAGACTATAAGCTAAACTCAAGATGGAATATGTTTGAATTCAACAAGCGCCAGACTGTTCTCTCTCGTCAAGAAGGTTCAGTCTGTTTGGAATTCTAGCAACGTTAGAAGATAAAGCAAGAGAAAATGAGATCTGCCATTTTTGCCTACAGACGTTCCCTAAAGCGGTGGCGAGAAGATCAAGAAGTCCAGCGTAGACATAACCGAAAGGCATGGCTGGAAGGAATGAAACATCCCCCCCCCCTTCAGAGATAAAGAAGAAAACTAATATCATTTTGGTCAATAAGTGGTGAACGGTGCATTTTCTACAAACGGTTCTTACAAGAACCACTACATCTAATAAAAGAATATGAACGAAAATCTTGATTTGAATTTTATTCCTGTCCACCTACGGCTACAGTAATAAGTTTTTTATCTTCAAACAATTATATCTTTTTTATTATTTTTAAAACAATTATAACAATCAAAGGGAAAACGCACAATCCCCAGTTTGTTTTTATGTATAAATAGTATAGACCCAGCATTTATCAGTGAAAAAATTATAAATCTCTCTGGCAAGAAAAATGCAGCAGCAGCAAAACAGTTCGCATCGGTTCATCGTGCCCGGAAAAGGCCGCGGCTTTAATGGTTACCTCTCGAGAACACAGTTTTCACACCGTCCTGGTATCCAAAAGACGGATTGTTTTATTTGCCTTGAAGAAATAGCAAAAAAACGAGCATTTGTCGTTTGACATGCCTTGCTGTGCGCATGTAGTCCATCTAACATGCTGGGAAAAGTGGGAAGCGGAAAGACGAGACATATCGACACCTTCGTGTCCGATGTGTAGATCAATTTGGAGGAGCGAAGTGGTATGTCGGGCATGTCTACGTCCGAAAAACTCCCAACTCAAGTGGTGGACCCCAGGGAGAAGACTGATGCATCATTGCGAAGTGCGCAATGGAAACTAAAGAATTTTTTCTCCCAAAACGGCCCTTTTTGAATATTTTAAGAAAATGGAAAAGTACTTCAAAGACAATCATTTTGAATCCTACCACAAGTTTGTAGAGGAGAGCGGATTATTGAAAGTCTTGGTTTGTGAGGCAAGAAATGATCAATGAACTAACCGACGAACCGGCTGTTCAAGAGAAGAAATATAATAAACTGATTGAAATGAAACTATACTGACTGGATGTTCTTTCCCATGACCTCTTGTTCTGACCCCTTTCCCATGAAGAGTTTCAGGGACACCCGGGACAAAAAAGTCCCGTGCGGGACAAAACGTCCCCCAGGGACACAAAGTGTCCCTCAGAAATTTTATTCCTGTCCAGCTACGGCTACAGTAATAAGTTTTCTATCTTCAAACAATTATATCTTTTTTTATTATTTTTAAAACAATTATAACAATCAAAGGGAAAACGCACAATCCCCAGTTTGTTTTTATGTCAATAAATAGTATAGACACAGCATTTATTAGTGAAAAAATTATAAATCTCTCTGGCAAGAAAAATGCAGCAGCAGCAAAACAGTTCGCATCGGTTCATCGTGCCCGGAAAAGGCCGCGGCTTTAATGGTTACCTCTCGAGAACACAGTTTTCACACCGTCCTGGTATCCAAAAGACGGATTGTTTTATTTGCCTTGAAGAAATAGCAAAAAAACGAGCATTTGTCGTTTGACATGCCTTGCTGTGCGCACGTAGTCCATCTAACATGCTGGGAAAAGTGGGAAGCGGAAAGACGAGACATATCGACACCTTCGTGTCCGATGTGTAGATCAATTTGGAGGAGCGAAGTGGTATGTCGGGCATGTCTACGTCCGAAAAACTCCCAACTCAAGTGGTGGACCCCAGGGAGAAGACTGATGCATCATTGCGAAGTGCGCAATGGAAACTAAAGAATTTTTTCTCCCAAAACGGCCCTTTTTGAATATTTTAAGAAAATGGAAAAGTACTTCAAAGACAATCATTTTGAATCCTACCACAAGTTTGTAGAGGAGAGCGGATTATTGAAAGTCTTGGTTTGTGAGGCAAGAAATGATCAATGAACTAACCGACGAACCGGCTGTTCAAGAGAAGAAATATAATAAACTGATTGAAATGAAACTATACTGACTGGATGTTCTTTCCCATGACCTCTTGTTCTGACCCCTTTCCCATGAAGAGTTTCAGGGACACCCGGGACAAAAAAGTCCCATGCGGGACAAAACGTCCCCCAGGGACACAAAGTGTCCCTCAGAAATTTTATTCCTGTCCAGCTACGGCTACAGTAATAAGTTTTCTATCTTCAAACAATTATATCTTTTTTTATTATTTTTAAAACAATTATAACAATCAAAGGGAAAACGCACAATCCCCAGTTTGTTTTTATGTCAATAAATAGTATAGACACAGCATTTATTAGTGAAAAAATTATAAATCTCTCTGGCAAGAAAAATGCAGCAGCAGCAAAACAGTTCGCATCGGTTCATCGTGCCCGGAAAAGGCCGCGGCTTTAATGGTTACCTCTCGAGAACACAGTTTTCACACCGTCCTGGTATCCAAAAGACGGATTGTTTTATTTGCCTTGAAGAAATAGCAAAAAAACGAGCATTTGTCGTTTGACATGCCTTGCTGTGCGCACGTAGTCCATCTAACATGCTGGGAAAAGTGGGAAGCGGAAAGACGAGACATATCGACACCTTCGTGTCCGATGTGTAGATCAATTTGGAGGAGCGAAGTGGTATGTCGGGCATGTCTACGTCCGAAAAACTCCCAACTCAAGTGGTGGACCCCAGGGAGAAGACTGATGCATCATTGCGAAGTGCGCAATGGAAACTAAAGAATTTTTTCTCCCAAAACGGCCCTTTTTGAATATTTTAAGAAAATGGAAAAGTACTTCAAAGACAATCATTTTGAATCCTACCACAAGTTTGTAGAGGAGAGCGGATTATTGAAAGTCTTGGT